CCACCACCTCCATCACCACCTCCACCACCACCACCATCACCACCTCCACCACCACCTCTACCACCACCACCACCACCTCTACCACCACCACCACCACCACCACCACCACCACCACCACCTACTGTTGAAGAATTAGATCTCAACATAACTTTCAGTGGAGACAAATCACATCTAAATCATACCATGGAGTTGAGCTGTAAGCTTTTAGTCTTTTGTGATAAAATTCTGGGTGGTCACAGCATAGTGCTCAAAACATTTGCCAGGCTGATGAGGCAACCCAGTCTCCAGCCAACTTGAATGGCATTGGTTGTAAATAACTGGAATGTCTGGAGATTGATGCTTGTCACCTAGGAAACTATGGTAGGTTGGTCACAGAGCCACTGGGAAATGAGAGTGTCAGCTATGCCAGCATAACTGACCTAATTCCCTTTAATGGTGAGGGCCTGCAGATTGAAAAAGAAGACACGGAGTCATCTGGTAGACACCAAATGCTGTATTTCCAACTATCCCACATGCTTATATACACAGAAGTAAACAGGAAAGGGAGGGACCACTCAACAGCCAATCACATAGGTTTCGATTTCTCTGGCAGCGACCATTTCGGGGAAATGGCTCAAGGCGGGGGAGCATGCTGTACTGCGCATGTCCTGCTCTCACAAGGATAATATCACAGGGCTGGTAGGTCATAAGATTCTCACAATTCGCTCTTTTTCTTTAATTCAAAAAGGCACCACCTGTCTTAGGATCAACCTTGCAGCCACTGGTTCTTACCTGTCTTTGGGTTGCTCTGTCATTCTCAGAGCCCTGTCTTAGGTTGAGACCAGGGCCAAGGAAGTTGCTCATCTCTGGTTAATGCTTTTGTAATGTAGATAAACAGACCTCTGCAGCAGGAGTCTCCTGCCCATGCAGTAGCACTAGGCCCCTCACCACTGCCTGGGAATGAACCTGTTGTCTCCTGAGGTGACATAGACCCCATACAACAACCAGGATAGCAATAAAGGTGATGGCCAAGAATGACATCATACCAGCCCATTTTTTAAACATAGAGCCAATCTTATGAAACCAGGATCCAACACAGAAGCTGTTGAGTCAAATTATTATAACCAGCCAATAATGGCCATACTCCAAACTAGGATGGATTGCGATACCAATGTGGAGGTGACTGATGGGTGCTAATTTTTGATGGAGGCCTATGTCCGAAGAACCAAACTGACTCCCCTAATTGCCATCCTTCCCAAGGAGCATAATTTAGCCAAGGTATAGGTGCCTTGATCTCAAAAATGTCTGAATCAACCCAACAGGGAGGAGCAGGTCTAATAGGTGCGATACTACCCACACTTCTATTCTTAAAAACACTATTAAAAACTGGATACAAAATACTCTGAAAAGCTACAGAACTACCATTAAAAAGGGTTCCAAAAGTAGCATTACTCATAATTAGGCAGTTACTATGCCAGGAATTATTACTCAACCTACTAATATTATACTCTTTTATAAAACATAAAACATTCTCAAGATAAAAGGAAGCATTAACCTTAAACTTATCATTTGTCCTCCTCCTGCAGGGTTAGGTATCTCATAAACTGGATAAGCTACAAGATCCTTATTCCCTGGGACTCTCTTTCCTACCTTTGCCACCCTCTTTAACCCTTCAGATGTACCTCCCCTGGAAATAACTCCTTTGGGTTGGGAAACAACACTTTTGAACGCCTGCTCCTTTTTCTCCTCCTCCTCCTGAACCTCCTCTCAAAAGGGGTTATGGGGGGAGGAGGTGCAGTGAGGAGCCGGTCTTGACCTCCTCTGTTTCCTCGTCCCTAACGCCTGCCTTCCTGTGCTTTCCTGGGTGCCTTAGCTTTCTCCGAGTCATCCTCAGATGAGGAGCTTTCCACTTCAGACGAGGTAGAGGAAGCCGAGCCACTAACTGACTCCTTAGCTATTTCTTCTTGCACCCTTCCAAAGATCTTCTGTACTTCTTCAAACTGTTCCTTCACTAACTCATTTTCAATGAGTAAAGCATTCCTAACTAGTTTCCAACCCCCCCAAACAGATTTATGAAAGATTAAGGGTCCATGGTGGTCAGCAGCGGCACAAAAATCACTGTGGACCTTTTCTCAGTCTTCTATTTTAAAATTTCCACTAGTAACAAACCATGGACTAAACTTTTGTACTTCTCTGATAAAGTCTCTAACTACTTCCCTCTTGACAGCAGTTCCCCGCTGTACAAGTAAAGTGGTGAGCTGCTTTGCAAGCAGCTCTTTACTATGGCTAAGTCCCATAGTTACTTACCCGGTCACTTACCTCAAGTGCCGAAGCCCTCAATATGTCCCTTTTGTTTTCATGCACACTACCAGGACAGTCTGGTCTGTCAGGTTCTCCCTTCTTTCCGATCTCGGTGGAACCTCCTCTTGTCAGCTACGCCAGCATAACTGACCTAGTTCCCCTTAACAGCGAGGGCCTAAGGATTGAAAAAGAAGACACGGAGTCATCTGGTAGACACCAAATGCTGTATTTCCAACTATCCCACATGCTTATATACACAGAAGTAAACAGGAAAAGGGAGGGACGACTCAACAGCCAATCACATAGGTTTCAATTTCTCCGGCAGCTACCATTTTGGGGAAATGGGTCAAGGCGGGGGAACATGCTGTACTGCGCATGTCCTGCTCTCACAAGGATAACATCACAGGGCTGGTAGGTCACAAGATTCTCACAGGAGAGTTCTACTGGAAGGGACACTTATGGTTTTCAGTCAAATCTTTCACCCAATGCAAACCACACTTGATGGTCACATGAACACTGAGTTCCTGCTCCATCCTTCCTGAGCCAAGCAATGAAGCCATGAAGCTCTGCTGAGCATTTGAGCAGATTTTCCTGGCAGACCATGGCTTGAGTGACGTAGGGAGTTGGTATTGGACTCTTGCATTTAGACACATCATAGAACATGTCTTGGGAAATGCATGGTCACGAAGCATAAAGAGACAGTAAGAACTGCAGTCAGGCTTTGATTTAAATGGACTACAAATTGTCATATTGAGTATCTGTGATCCAAAGCTAGATGGTAGTCAATGATAGCCGGAGGGGAGTAGAGTTAGAGCCTAGATCTCTCAATGCCTGGCACCATGACCCTCATACTGCTGGGCACTGTCTTTCCTCACCATGCGCCATTATAACCAGTGTCACCACCATCACCACCACTGTAACTAATGTCATGACCGCCATCCTTACATCATCAATCATTGTCACCGTTTCCATGGAAACCACCATTGACATCCACCATCCTCACCACAGTCACCATCATCATTGTATTCTAATCATTAACATGTGCCGTTGGCACGCAACGCTCCCTATCCTAAGCACATTCCTGCTGCTATAGTAAGACTCACTACAACTGTTTCCTTAAGGAAAATGAGCCCTAAGGGAAGTGATGTAACTTTCCTGAGGCTGCCTGGCCAGCAGTGTGAGTTGCGTTTAAGGGACAGTGGGAATCAACTGCTTTAAAGTTAGACGACTTCTCCTCTTTCTTCTTCTTCTTCTTCTTCTTCTTCTTCTTCTTCTTCTTCTTCTTCTCCTTCTTCTCCTTCTTCTCCTTCTTCTCTTTCTTCTCCCTATTCTTTTTAGATTTATTTATTTATTTTATGCATATGGGTACACCATTGCTCTCTTCAGAGCTCTCATCAGACCCCATTACAAATGGTTGTGAGCTACCATGTGGTTGCTTGGAATTGAACTCTAGAAGAGCAGTCAGTGCTCTTAACCATTGAGCCTTCTCTTCAGCCCAAAGTTAGGCTTCTTTGACTCTATAGCCCACACTTTGTTGTTTTGTTTCGGAAAGTCTCTGCAGAAAGCATAGGTGGCAGCCTCTCCTGCAACAGCCATGGACAGGGTGAAGTTTGGTAAGAGACGGCCTTAGATGACAAGCGGGTAGGGAACAGCACCAGTATAGCTTTGATAACACTGACTTGGGGCCACCTTTCCAGCAGACAGGTGACCTCACCCAGAGTGCTTAAGTCTTCTAGAAGGTGGAGAGTCTCTCCTCCCATTCTCTCTTGACTCCTACAAGAACAGCCTTTAATCAATGAGCCCTGTTTTGTTGCATTCAAGGTGGAATATAAGAAAGGGTTTGAGGAGAGTAAAACCCACTTCCACCTGCCCATGGACATGGTGAACCTCAGGCACGCGAAGAAGGCTCAAGCTCTTGCCAGTGACCTCGACTATAGAAAGAAACTGCATGACTACACGGTGCTGCCTGAAGACATCAGAACTCAGTGGGCCAAGAAAGCCTATGGGCTCCAGAGCGAGGTGAGGGGTCACCAGTTGCCGGCTCGGTCCAGCACCTTATCATTAGATGTGCTCTCAGAATGATTTGAACCTGTGTGTGAGACTATTGTATAGCTCAGAGACAGAGTAAAGCTGTTCCAGGTCCAGGAAAGACAGGTGTAGAGAAACAAAGAGCCAAGACTGTGGAGACTCAGAATGGGGTGGGGCTTGGAGCCAGTGTGAAAGTCAAGGTGTACCGGAAACAAGAGCCAAGGAGGAGAAACATCTTGGAAATATTGGTCAACAGTATGAGACACTTCTTTTGGCAAGGCCAAAGTGCTACAACACTAAGGTGGGGCGTGCTTATCTCCCTCGCAGGGAGCTCCCCATGGCTTTCCCTCCCTAAGGAAGAGCCGCTGAGGGTAAACGAGGAGTAGCTCTCCAGAAGGACAAATTTGTATTTCCCCATGAACTTGGTTGTGCTTGACTGTGTGTGTCAGATTAGAGCTTGGTGACGTTTCTCCTGCAGCTGAAGTACAAAGCTGACCTGGCGTGGATGAGGGGAGTCGGGTGGTTGACGGAGGGGAGTCTCAACCTGGAACAAGCGAAGAAGGCTGGACAGCTCGCCAGCGAGGTAACTTGAGTGTCTGTCCCTGGGCTCCAAGCGGTTCTCAACCTCTGAGTCATGGAGCTCCATTTCACTCCAGTGTCCTCCCCGACCTCCAGGGTTTTATTCTGAATTCAAATCAAAGGGGGGAGATCTCTTCATGTCTGTAACTGTAAAGTCTTCAGAACCAACTTGCAGTCCCCATAAACTTCCCGTAGGTTTTGTTTTGTTTGTTTTCTTGGCACAAGATCTGCCTATGTAGCCCAAGCAGGCCCTGGACCCCACACCCTCCTGTTTGTGCTTCCTGAATGCTAGCTAGGCTTACCGTGCCACCGTGCCCAGATCCAGGGAGGTATTTTTAAGAAGATTATCAATTTATTTTAAAAAGTAGTCTTTTTTAAAGAACGGTTTTTAGAGACAGATTTCTTCGTGTAGCCTTGGCTGTTCTGGAATCCCCTCTTTGGCCAGGCTGGCTTCAAACTCAGAGATCCACCTGCCTCTGCCTCTCAAGTGCTGGGATTAAAGGCGTGCGCCATCACCATCTGGAAAGGAGTAGTCTTATCCAGAGAATAATTTAGTGTAGAAAGATTGTACAAATAGAACAATTGAAAGCCAAAACAACAACAGCAACAACAACAAAACGCCCCCCAAAAATCCCCCTCCCCAAAAAGTCTCCAACATTTGAACAGGACATCACAATTCACACTGTGACATTTTACATTAGGTACTAAATTATTGAAAATACCACATAAAATGACCTTAAGGTTATAGCTACCACAGGTATATGAAATGTAAATGAATTTGAATTGGGGTCTCATCCCCAAACTATATTTTTATGTACAAATACCCGCCCCAAATCAACCAAAGGGAGAAAGATCCTCTGACATCTGAAAAACTACCATCCCAAGAAATCAACCCGTGATGTCTTATTCAAAGAACGCTTGAGTCACAGTCTGGCACTCGGAGTAAGTGATGCCACACTCTGGAGACTCGGCCTGGGTCATTTGATATTATGGAGACTTTTCTCATGGAAGAATGAGAGAGCCGAGTGAGCTGAGACACTTCCAGGCCCCATGGTCTAAACTGTGTCTGTTTATGCGTTGGGGAGCTGCTTTGGTAGCAAGCAGAGAGAGACTCTGGAAGGATGTCCCATGTGGAAGAGGGACTGTGTCAAGAACTTTGCGATCTTCAAGGGGATTCTTGCTTCTGGTCCAGGGAGGCTGAGTCTGCGCATTGCAAAGAGATAAAAGAGCCACCATTTATAGACAGATAATAATTCAGTCACTGGTGTAGTCGATGGATCACTCTGAGAGTACTGAATCATGGTGCAGTGTAATGGTCACAGCGGTCCTATGCATAGATCCTGAGTTTATCCTACTATGCTCTATCTTATACACAGGAAAAGCAGACTTAAGTCATGGTTCCACTCAAGAGCAGAGCTACTCAGTACTCAGTGCTCAGTACTCAGTACTTAGCATGTGACTCAGTGACTCTTTGGGAGCATACAACCCCAAACATATACTTTATAATTTATTCTCATTTTTCTACCTTATTTACTCTTAAAGGTACATTTGGTTTTAAAATGTGTCAGTAACAGAAACAGTAGAGACAGAGTATCACCCCGAGGGTCTCCTCCCTCCCTTCTGTGAGATCTACTGAGATCCGGGCAGATCTTGAATCAGGGTGCAGTAGGAGAAGGGCTCAGGAAGTTGTCCTGACAGCATCAGAGATGTGGGTATCTACCTCACTTCCTGTGTTGACTACACCTTTGAAGCTCTTCGAAGGGTTTCTCTCCTAGTGATTTTCAGTGTGCTAGAATGTAGTAGAATGAACTCTTAGCTCCAAAGTAAGCACTCAAGATGTGACCAGTGCCTGTGCTTTGGTGACTGGGAATTTCCAGCCACAGAAGGGTCATGTGACTTCCCTCAGTTACATGGTAATGAGCTTTCCCATCCAACACAGAAACTAGGAGGAAAGTCAGCAGTTTTTATGGTATGTTGTCTCTAGAATTTTCTTTTAAGGTAAGAAGGGTTTATTTTCTTAGGGTCTGAGGGTCCAGTCCATAATGATGGGGGAGGCATGGTGGCAGAGCAGGAGGCAGTTGGTCCTGTGGCACCCACAGTCAGGAAGCAAAAAGAGACAGGCACTGATACTCAGTTCTTTCTTCTATTCTGTCTGGATCCTTAGTCTATGGGATGGCGTCTCCACACGGCATATCTTCCCACTCTGTTTGAACCCATCTGGAAACATGCTCACTGACACACCCAGAGGCTATGCCTCCTAGGTGGATTCTGCATCCTAGCAGGTTGAAACACCAGGAATGAGCATCTTGCCTATGTTGGGGAAGTGTGTTCTGAATTGGAGTCTGATGCTTGTAGCGAGCTTTGTCTTATGTCTGTGTTTTCCGTTTAAAAGACGGAAGCTTGAGCTGTCCTATATTCCTGTCACTATTTGGCCCCCAGTGAGTATGATACTGCTTCTGCCGAGGGAGCAGAAGCTTAGTGGCATGAGCTTGTGAGTCCCCTATACTGTTGCTTCAGCAAGCTGTCCACAGAGGCAGCTGCTCCAATCCGTCTTGGCAACTCCAGTGGAAAAGGCAGAGGAAGTAATCTTCAGGGAAGATGAGATGTCCCCATTGGGGAGACAGAATTAGAAAACTTGAACATTTTCCAGTTAGTTCTTAGCTGTGGGGTGAGGGCACAATGAAAACAGACCTCAGAGAAGCAGCAGAGTGACCTACGACCTCTGACCTTCCATCCGTGGGTTTGGTGCTCTTTTCCTTAGCTCCTTGGATAGTCATGGGGACCCCACGGGCAGTGGTGATAGCCCATGTGGCGCAGGTGCCACGATCTTGAGTCACATGGAAAGAATGATGTTGAAGCATTCACTCCACCTCAGGGTGACAAAGCTCCCTTCATCACTGTTACCGTTGTGCCACTGAAGGAAGAGGGTCGTGGGTCTGTTTAGTGACATGCCCAGTCAGGGCACTGGAAAAAGGTGGAGGTGAGATTTGAAACGGACTTGAGTCCAAGTTCCTTCCACTTCACCTCTAATGTCAGACCTCGGGTCTGTAGGGGGGGAAACACCCCAGTGTGCTCAGTGTAACACAGAGCTTGCTGAGAAGCACTGAAGTTCCATGCAGCCATCAAGTCAGGCTATGGGATGCAGAGGCGGGAGGAGGCTTACAGGAGTGTAGCAGAGACAAGCTCCAGGCTCAGTGAGAGGCTGTCTCACAAAGCCAGGTGGAGAATGACCAGGGAAGACACCCAAGACTGACCTCTGACCTCCTCATAAACATACATACATCCATATATGTGGAGAGAGAGAGAGAGAGAGAGAGAGAGAGAGAGAGAGAGAGAGAGAGGTTCTGTTTTAGGACCTGCAAGAACACCCCTCCCGCAAGGAAATGCTTGAGCGGTAAAAAGCACAAAAGTGCATGTGCATGCGGTGGAAGGGGACAGCTCCGTCCTAACACTACGGCCTACCTTTTCTTTGCAAATAGAAAAACTACCGGCAGAGGGTGGATGAGTTAAAGTTCACCAGTGTGGCTGACAGCTCCCAGATGGAGCAAGCCAAGAAGAGCCAGGAGCTGCAGAATGCGGTGAGTCCTCGCTTGCCCTCTAGCCGGCAGGCTGCCCTGCTCTGGGCCCAGGATCTTCTGGAGACAGCAGCAGGTGCTGCCCACAGACACAGCTCAGGAGTCCTTAAGGAGGCCCAGCGTCCAGGAGGTCTGCAGACCAGACACGCGGTGTTCTCTTCCACTCACTGAGACAGACAGATTTGGTCACCCCTTTGCTGTCAGTCTTTCTTAATTACCCTTTCTTCTGTTTTGTTATCCAAGACTATAATTCTGGATTAACAGAGAATTTTGTTGGAGGAGGGTTTGCTTTTGGCCAGGTACCTGTTGAGTTCTAATAAGGGAGTCAGAACAACAAGGTGCCATTTGTATGACGTACAGGCTGGTGCTCAACCAGAGACCCTTCCCCACTAACTGTCCCAGCCTGTCCTCCCTAGCTTTTCTTCCCACAGGTCCAGCAGATGCTCTACCCTCTTCCTCCATCCCCGCCGGAAAGCTGTCAGAGGCAGTAGAAAGCTACTACTTGCAAACATGACTTGAGGGAAGGGAGAAAGGAAGAGAGAAGGCAGAGATCTGTTTCAAGGGAAAAGCGGGTCAAGTCACTGCCCACTTTAGCGCTTCTCAGAGTATGAACAGATTGCAGATGCAGGAGGGAGTGTGCTTCCTGCTCAGCCTACTTTGGCGCCCTCTGGTGGTTGGGAGATTTTTGATGTTCACGGGAATGTAAATCACAATAGATTTGGAAGTCCAAATCCTAGGGAAAGATATGGAAATAGGAAACCAGGAGGATAGTTGTGTTGGTCTCTGTCCCTAAACATTTTGTTTCCTGTGTTGTCTCTTAATGTCTGGCGTGGTGTTACACACACACACACACACACACACACACACACACAGAGACACACACAAATTGAGATAGGGATCTTACTCTGTAACTCAGGCTGGCCTTGAACCCTCAGCAATCCTCCTGCTTTAGCCTTCCCAGTTCTGGGACTACAGGCATAAGCCTGTTCTTTGCGTTAATTGATTTATAATATTTACACGTATAAAGTACAGTATTGCAATCTGATACATGAATACAAGCACAATGATCAAACCAGGGTAATTAGCATTTCCTGTTTTCAGTGTGATTTCTATGTGTTGGGAACCTTCATGTTCTTGGCATCTCTCTCTAGGATATAAAATTAATTGCTGGAGTCCATGGCTAGCCTACACATACACATATACGTGTGTCTGTGTGTGTGCATGAATATACATATATACAATATATGTATATATGTGCATATGCTTATATATATATGTGCATACATGTATATGTGTTATATACAGAAGCACCTCTCAACGGCTGTATTTTTTTTTTAAAGATTTATTTATTTTATTTATGAGTACACTGTAGCTGTCTTCAGACACACCAGAAGAGGGCATCAAATCTCATTACAGATGGTTGTGAGCCACCATGTGGTTGCTGGGATTTGAACTCAGGACCTCTGGAAGAGCAGTCAGTGCTCTTAACCGCTGAGCCATCTCTCCAGCCCAACGGCTGTATTTTTGCACCAGTCACGCACCGTCTCTCTGGTCCCCCTGACTTTCTCGCCTTTGTTTGTTACTTCTATGAGGTCAGCTCTTTCAGTTTCCACAGATGTAACATCATGTGGTCTTCGGCTGTCCCTGGTATATTGCATTGACTTCAATGTCCCTGACGCCATCTGTGTTGTCCCAGTTGTGATGGACAGCCCACCCTTGCTCCTTCCTCACCCGCTGACCCTGTTCTCTCTATCAGGTGGCCTACAAGGCAGGAAACGAGCAGACCGTCCATCAGTACACCATCAGCAAAGACGAGCCTGTCTTCCTACGAGCCCGGGCCAATGCTGCTCAACTCAGCGAGGTACCACAAGGGGTGGGCACTGAGGGTTCAGCTCCCCCGTGACTCTGTGGTCACCTGGTCATCAAAGCCACCAGCTACCTGCAGTGTTTGGTTCAACTGTAGTGTATGTGGTGTGATTCCTGACCAATGCTTTGGGGAAGAGGAAGACAAACTTCCTAGCAATGGCTGGCAGGGTCTTCAGTTACTGACTAGACCTTAGTGGGTGGAAGGGTGCTTGTTCCAAGACTCAGCTCTGAGTGGTAGAAGGAGGGAAATTCAGTTGTTGACTCCAAACCTTGGTCCTTAGTTTGACCACTTCCCAGGGGTGCAACTGTAGACTAGGTCTTTACTCTTGGATGTCCATTAGTGAAATGAAGCTAATACCAGCTCTTCCTCCGTGGGTTGCCATGAGCTTTTGGCAAGTGTACGTGTACGATGTTCTTCAGGAGTGTGCACTGTGGTGACTCCCTGATGTGGCAGTGTCCATGGTTGATATCCCATCCCGGGACGCCTGTTCTTGACTCTCTATACACAAGTTTCCCAAGTCTCTGTCATCCTGACCTGGGACCAGGCAGGAAGGAGAAACAGAAGACAGGGCAGAAACTAAATTGAAATGAAGGTCACTTTGAAAGGAAGGGCGGCCTTCCAGAAGAAAGGCCTTAAAACTTGGAGGCAGAGGTTTCGGATGGAAGGGACAAAGAACGGCCCTAGGTCTGGAGGCTAGAGGAGGGATGGTTCAGGAGAGAATCCTCTGAGTCCTGTGTCTGAGCCCTGTGGCTAAATCCTGCGGCTGAGTCCTATGCTGACCCATGGAATGTTGTAGCATCTGTCATGTTTGTGAGAGTTCTTTTTGTTTTTTTTGTTTTGTTTTTTGTTTTGTTTGTTTTGTTTTTTTTTTTTTTTGTTTTTTTGGTTTTTTGAGACAGGGTTTCTCTGTGTAGTCCTGGCTGTCCTGGAACTCACTCTGTAGACCAGGCTGGCCTCGAACTCAGAAATCCGCCTGTCTCTGCCTCCCAAGTGCTGGGATTAAAGGCATGTGCCACCACCGTCCGGCTGTTTGTGAGAGTTCTATGGTATACTTAGGGTATGTGTGATGTGAGGTTTAATCCTTGCTTCTTGTGATGGAAGTCAGATATGCCAGGAGGCCCTCAGGCAGAACGAAGAGGCCTGGTTCTCAGGCTAGGGAAGGAGGCCCTTGCTGTTTCTCCTTAAAAAGGTTTTCAGAGTCTAGAGGAGTGGTTCTCAACCCGTGGGTCAAGACTCTTTTATGGGGCTCACAGGGGTCATGTATTAGATGTCCCACATATCAGACATTTACATTACAATTCATAACAGTAGCAAAATGACAGTCATGAAGTAGCAATGAAAATGATTTTGTGGTTGGGGGTCACCACAACATGAGGAACTGTATCAAAGGGTCACAGCATCAGGAAGGCCGAGAACCACTTGTTCTAGAGGAACCCTCTCATTTAAAGATAACCACTGTTCCCTGAATCTCCCCAGACCCTGTACAAGAGCAGCTGGGAAAAGCAGAAGGCCAAAGGTTTTGAGCTGAGACTTGACTCCTTGACATTCCTGACGGCCAAAGCCAAGAGAGACCTGGCTAGTGAGGTGAGTCCTTCAGGCCTGGAGCCAGATGCACACAACCTGCTGCTGCCGCCTATCTGGGCAGAATCTTCATCTCCCCAAATCTTGAGGACTTGGGATCATGGCAAGTCCTTCACAGAGAGGCCATCTCTCCTGTGGTCAGGGCCGTTGTCACATACCTTTTCAGCAAGCCGAGACCGCAGTGGCCAGAGTCTTGCAGCACCCGCTTCTTCTCGGGAGACTGAGACACAGCTTGTTCATGGTTCAGAGAATATGCTCATGGGTTAGATGGATTTTGGATGAAACCCCTTCCCTGTCATGTGTTGGTGGTGTCAGTTAGATGGTTAAACCTTTCCGCATCCCAGTTACTGGCAAACTGGTAACTGCAAGGTGATTACAAGGACCCGAGACAGAGCAATGTGCACTGTTCTTCTGTCCTGTGCAATCCATTATGGCTTAGATGAGCGGTTAAGTGGGCCAGGGTGTAGAAAAGATCTGTGCTTCCTTCCTTGAGAAAGTCATGTTTGAAAGACATAGTCAGACAGCAGCCCATTTCTGTAGTCTCAACATTCTAGAGCCAGAGACAGGAGGATAAAAGTTTAAGGTCTGCCTTACTGTAGGGATCCAGGCTCAGCACCCACCTCCAAAGACACAGCCAATCAAACCAAGCTAAACAACAAGCACAAAATCAAATGAGAAAAGCACAAAACAAAAACCAAAATAAAAAAAAATAACAAACACATATACAGGGAAGAAAGAAGGGAGGGAGGGAGGAAAGAAGAAGAAAGGAGGGAAGAGGGAAGAGGGAAGATAGAGGGAGGGAAGGAGGAGGGAGGAGGGAGGGAGGAAAACAGGAAGGGGAAGAGAGAGAGAGAGAGAGAGAGAGGAGAGTGATTTGGTGATAGGGTTGATTTAAAGTCTGCCATACAACATGTTATAACTCAATCAGTGGGTACATGAGTGCCCTTGGCTTATCCCATGTCTGGCCCACAGTAAACAGAGACAGTGTCAATCCTTTTGTTGGGAGATGAGTGTAGAGTCTCTTCACAGCGCAAGAATGCTACCTGGCTGGACTCTGTGTGTTCTTCAAGCCGTCCCCTCAGCTCTTTCTTCTGGTTCTCCTTATGCTTTGCCTGGCATCGTTTGTCTCCAGACAGCACACCCTCCTCTGCTCCCTCTCCCAACTCTGGAACACCCCCCTCCCCAACCACAGCTTTGTTTGGGACGCTCTGAGCTGTTTTAGTTTTGTGACTGCTTTTTTGTTACAATGTTCTTTTATCCATAAAGATTCCAAGTCAGCTTTTATGGACAGCAACAGGTTATTTAAAAAGAAATCCAAAGTGGGGGAGATGATGAGCATTTGCTGCTTTTCAAGAGGTCTGGAGTTGGGGTCCAGCACTGTATCAGGTGGCTCACAACTGCCTGTAGGTCTAGCTCCAGGACCTCTGAAGCCTTCCTCTGCACTCCCTTGGCACCTTTATACATGTGTGCGCACACACACACACACACACACACACACAAACACACACAAACACACACACACACAATCTTAAAACGCTGGAGACATGACTTTGTGGTCAAAAGCACTGGGAGGATTCAATTCCTAGCACCCACGTGGCAGCTCACAAACATTCCCTAAGTTCAGTTCCTGGGGACCTGCTGCCATCTTCTGGCATCTGTGAGCACTGCATGCACACGATGCATAAATGTCCGTGCAGGCAGAACAGCCATAAACATAAACTAAAAATAAATTAAGTCTTTAAAAGTACAAAGGATTAAAGAGAAATCAAGTGAAGGACATCTCGAGTTGAGAGGGTGGAGATGCCACCTCACAGAGGCATGGTGTAGGTCTGTAATGACATCCAGCAACCTGTGGTGATATTCCATTTGTCAGTTTATCCCTTCTTTGTACTGAGTGCATTATAACATGGTATATGGCAGAATTATGGCTGACTTGGAATCTTTATGGATAATAGAGCATTATAACTATGAAACACACCAGTTGCTCACTAATAGGATTCTGCCATAGATGGCTGTTGTTAACCTTGTGCCCGTGATTTGAAGCCTCCCGCTCCTTGTGGAGACTGACCTGTGTCCTGCTCCATATTTTACACTTAGGTGAAGTACAAGGAGGACTATGAAAGGTCTAGAGGGAAACACATCGGGGCGAAGAGCGCCCAGGGGGATGCACAGATGAGCCACTCGCTGCAGATGTCTAAGCTACAGAGTGAACTGGAGTACAAGAAGGGCTTGGAAGATACCAGAGCTCAGTACCACGTCTCTCTTGACATGATCCACCTTGCCCATGCTCGCCGGGCACAGCACCTAGCCACAGACATAGGCTACAGGACGGCGTCTCACTGCTTCACAGCTCTACCCACAGACATGAAGGTGGAGTGGGCCAAGAAGGCCTACGGCCTGCAGAGTGATGTAAGCTCAGAGCCTCTGTGTACACAGACGTGTGTGTGTGTGTGTGTGTGATAAAGAGAGAGAGAGAGAGAGAGAGAGAGAGAGAGAGAGAGAGAGAGAGAAAGAAAGAGAGAAAGAGAGAGTAAGAGTATGTGTGTGTGTGTGTGAGAGAGAGATAAAGAGAGAGAGTGAGAGTGTGTGTGAGAGAGTGTGAGAGAGAGTGTGTGTGTTAGTGTGAATATGTATGTGAGTATGAGCATGTGTGTATGTGTGTGTGAGAGAGTCTGTGTGACTGTGTGTGAGAGAGAATATGTGTGTGAGAGTATGAGCGTGTAGAGAGAATATGTGTGTGAGAGTATGAGCGTGTGTGTGTGTGTGTGTGTGTGTGAGAGAGAGAGAGAGAGAGAGAGAGAGAGAGGCTTTGCTTGTTTTGTTTATCTGTTTTAAAATCTTGGTTTCATCAGATTCTTTGGGGCAACAACTCATGCTTCTGGGGTCCGTATTTCTGAATCCCTCAGTGGGCACACTTTTACCTCCTCCTGATAAACTCTGTTCATCTGATGCTGGTTTGCAATTATGTAGCCAGCTAGACAGAGCTACTCTAGGAGTTCTGGTTGGCATACATTGGACGTTTCTTTCAGTTGCTGGAGTTGAATGTGTTGGTGTCACCCCCAGCTTTGGTCACCTGTAAGAGTGTCACTGACAGCTCGCTCCAGCTCTGCTGGTCCTGTTTTGTGAGTGACCAGTTTGTTGACCTTCAGTGGCTCCCTCTGCTTCCTCCTTGCACCCTTTGCTTGGTTCTGCTTTCTCTCTGTGTTTGGTCTTATGTGGTGTGTGTGTGTGTGTGGTGTGTGTGTGGTGTGTGGTGTGTGTGTGTGGTGTGTGTGTATGTGTGTGGTGTGTGTGTGTGGTGTGTGTGTGTGGTGTTTGTGTGTGGTGTGTGTGTGTGGTGTGTGTGTGTGGTGTGTATGTGTATGTGTGTGGTGTGTGGTGTATGTGTGTGGTGTGTGTGTATGTGTGTGGTGTGTGTGTATGTGTGTGGTGTGTGTGTGTGGTGTGTATGTATGTGTGTGTGGTGTGTGTGTGTATGTGTGTATGAAGGGAGAGAGGGAGGGGAGGGAGGATATCCCTGTATTCCTCTCTGGCATGTCTGTTTCAGGCTACATAGATGATGGATTACTCTTAGAGAAGAGTGTCCATTTAAATAATTTTCATTAAAACTATTCACTCAGTAGCTAGTGAAGAAGAGAGGCCTGTTCTCCCAGGACCCGCAGTGCAGGGAGGGGAGAGCGGATGCCATGACGGTCCGTCCAATGGCTTATCCTTAGCTCTGTTGTGAGCCATCATTGTCTTGTTCTCCGCATGTCACTTTAAACAACGCTGGTACAGCCAACAGTGAGGATGCTCTTGTCCAGAGGGAAGACATGAGTCCCCAATGAGGGAAGATGTGAGTCCCCAGTGAGGGAAGATGTGAGTCCCCAGAGGGCCCGGGTTGACTCAGCACCTTCTACATACCTAGAGTAATGTTGGGTAGGGCCTAAAGCCACCATCTACAGGTAAACCTCTGATTAAAGGGGGGTTAATTTGTATATTTGGGGGCCTTACCCTCAACTCCTCAGAAATAGGTAAGACAATGGTGTTTGATTTCACTCAGCTGGTGCCAAGGGCACATCGGGAACACTATCAGCCCTTTAAAAGGCTTCGCAGTGACAGAGGCCTGCCTCTCCCCCTTCCTTTTTCTTTTGTCAGAACCAATACAGGGCAGACATGAAGTGGATGAAAGGCACAGGCTGGGTGGCCACCGGGTCATTAAATGTGGAGCAGGCGAAGAAGGCAGGAGAGCTCATTAGTGAGGTGAGATTCCCTGGCAGTGTGTGTGACAGGCTTGGTTGCATTAGGTGTGCGGCATTTCTGTATGAAATTAAAATAATTTCCACTCAAAAGGCAAAGCCACATGAAAGGCCTCCAACCCTGGACTAGGGCTGGTAATTAGAGAGAACCCACACACCAAACACACACCAGTAGGGGCCCATAGAGCCCTAGCAAAAACAAAGTGGGTGACAAGTGATATTATGTATATTAATGACAACCAAACGAGGCTCAATTGCTCCCCACCCCTTATCTTTTTAATGAATCGGCCCAGGAGAGATGGCGAAAGATAGGTCTGTGGCACCCAGGAAGCTCTTCTAAGCTTCGGACACATTTCTCCTCTGTCGCCCCGAGATAAACAGTTTGTGAATATTCTCAGTGCTGTCCAACACAAGGACATAGTTGTTTCTTTCTTGTGTGAGGGACGTGTCCCTTCTACTGTCTCACCTTGTCAGGGTGCAGCTACCCACGTGGACCTGAAGGCGGTTCTGCTTATGAGAACAGCCATTCTTCTCTCTGGCAGTTTCCCTGAGCAGGAGTTTTAAAGGCCGTGAGGATCGGGTTGTGCCTCTGTGCTGTGGACATATTGTCGACTCTTTCTTGGGGATGGTCAGCAGCATCTCCGGCCTCTAGGTGTCAGAAGCACTCTCTGTCCAGCAGCGGCAACCTGATTGCAGATGCCGGCAGGCAGCAGCTGCCCTCTAGGGGGCAGAGTGGCAGCCGCACAGGGCATCTCTGAGAACTGCGGTTTGGAGCTCAAGCTCATTAGAGGCTTGGCACTACCAAACTCCCACATTCATCCCTTCAGACCTATTGGGAAGACCTGTGTCCAGAAGGCAAGTGAGCGTTCTACTGCCTTTAGAGTAGATCGGTCTTTCTGGAACTTTCTGGACAGGGAGGAACCCTAAGTTTGAATAGCCCTTGAAGACTTTAGTTTTGACAGCAAGGCTCCTCAGATGTTGTTTCAGTGTAGAACGGCAGCCATGTTGGTTTTGTAGTGCCCTTGCCCAGAGTTGCAGGGGCTGCAGCCTAGTCTCCTCACATGTTAGACAGAACTGCTAAACTTGCCTTTATGCACTGACCTAATTTTCAGAAACCTTCTTTGTCACTTAAGACTCAGAGAACCCTGGGATATCAGTGGGTCTCAGTTGGTCTGTTTTTTTTTTCCTGTTTAATTAGAGAAAGGGCCTTTCAGCAGCATAAACATACAAAACTGTGGGAACAAACATTTACAGTCAAGGTGTAATCATCCCAAACTCTTAGCACTGGGCCCTCTCATAAAGGAGAAGCTTCATCCCCACCTGCTCATTTTCAATTCAGACGTCCAGATGATTTCTTTCTGTGTCTAAGTCTGGCACCAAGGACTCCCAGGGGAATCATTTACTCCATAGTAGTTTGGCTTTGTCATAAGAATCCTCATTTTGGCAGACTTTCTCAAGAAATTTGCTTATTTTCTTAACATCTTTGCTTCAGACCAGCTATCAAACATTATATTAGGCAAGATGTATACAACTATCGGATATTTTTAGGTTCCTGTCAAATTGGGTACATTAGCTTTCAGAGAGACTACTAGACACCGTGGAAAGGGCCACAAATGAATATGAACACAGCCACACACATATTTATGCATATGCTCATGGATATGTGAGTTCACAAATACATGCATGCAATGTATACATGCATTTCCACATGCATGTACACTTGTATACATGCGTTCACACATATGCACACATACACAGATACATTCATTCACACATGGAAACATACCTTCGCACATACATGTACACATATATTCACACATGTGCACACACGTGTATCCATCCACTTATACATGTATTCACTCATCCACAGACATGCACACATGCATTCACACACACATGCACACATACATGTATACATTCATTCAAGCATGTGTGATTGAATTCACACATGCACACACATGTGTACATGTGTTCTTCCACATATACGCAATACATGTATACATGCATTCACATATAAACACAGAAACAGATACAAACATACATGCAAGCGCACATACACACACACACATCTGAGGTGTGACACAGTAGTCATGACAACTATTCTGCTTAGCCCCAGGTAGTAAATGTTTTTAGCTTTGCTTATTGCATAATCTCCATCACGGCTCACTGAGAATGTTTCTGGAGAATATGTCAGTGAATGAGTGTGGCTACCTTATAGTAAAGCTTCATTTGCAAAACCCCGGGTGGCTGGCTGGGTTTAGTTGCACCTAAGACAGCCTAGTACAGTATACACAAACCCAAGCAGACCAATGAGCAGGTGTTTAGAAATATGTTTCTGGGGAAAATAAACTCCATTGTACCATTAAGATTATAATATTTCAGGCTCTGAAGAATGTGCTTTGATTAAAAGAACATGGAATGAACTTGACCATGATATTCAGAGTTCTTCAAATGGAGTTATCTAGACCTTTGCCAGCCGGCATTTATATTTTCTGTTGCTTTTTGTTTTGCTTAGTGCACACATTCTGTGTCTTTCAAATGTTATGAATGCTCCTTTTGGTGGTAATGGGATCCTTTTCCTTACTGTAATGTCTTTGAGAATTAGCACATATGCTAAATAAAACATAGTCAACAGTGAATATATCCTGCATGTTAAATGCAGGGTTTGGGCTGTGATAATGCCTGCCAGGTCCTTTGGGGGAAGGAAAACAGAAAGCTTCAATCGATAAATGTAACCAGGAATGCACTTTCTTGCCAAACTAAGACGTAAACACCCACGACACAGCATTTGAAGCCTCTCGAAAGGACTGCTTTGGAAGTGTATACCCTACAGTATTTTACTGGTGTAATCTAATTTTGAGATGTTGTCTTTGCACCGGGTAGCAATACTTTAATGTTAATTGACACAAGGTTATTCTTAAATTGAAACAAATATTAACCTGAAGGTACCTAAGAAATAAAGATGGAGGAGGCCGAATAATAATTATGTTCACAAATTCACTCTAATCTCAAGCAACCTGTGATTTTTTTCCCCTTTCAAATGGCATGAAAGAGCGGCACAAAATTCACAGCTTTGATCTTTTCCTGCTCAACAGAAGAAGTACCGTCAGCATCCAGATGCTTTGAAGTTTACCAGTATTAAAGACACTCCGGAGATGGTCCAGGCCAGGATTAGTTATACCCAAGCAGTGGATGTAAGTGATAATGTACATGATGACTCCAAGAGTGTGCTCTCTTTCAGTGGTATGATTGAAGCAGAGGGGATCTTGGGTCTGCTCCTTCTGTCGTCCTGAGGATGAAGGGACCCTTGTCTTTCATGATGCTCCCCTTGGTGGGGTTCCTTCCTCATTAGGATGCAAACGGGGCGTTCCCGTACTCATGTGCCAAGTGGGGCTCGGCATCCCACTGTCTCCTTGGATGCTCTCCCTCCTTGCCTCTGCAGAGCTTGCAGATTTGTGGTCACGAGGCCCCCTTCCCTCCTCCTCCTTTTGTTCAAAAATGTTGTTTTCGGAGCTAGAACTTGGAGTAAGATTCTGGTTAATTGGAACGAGGCTCGGGGCTCTTTGGGATCCGAGGGCAGACAGACACTGTCTTCTCATTTCCCCACACTTTCAAAAATGATTTGAGGCTGATTTGCGGATATGAGCCTGACTTTTAAGCCACTTACCATATTCTGTATATTACCGGAAACCAAGATTTGACCCCATGCTCAGTTCACTAGAGATTAAATATAACATTGAGGTCTTATAAGAACTCCTTTAAGCACGGGAATTAACAGGCTACTACTACTGAGTGAGGTCCACAGATCTGTGTGTAAGGCAGGCTTGGCTTTGAAATATCTTAAAATATTCAATGTCTGACACACAAAAATATTGACGAACCCTGGGATCCAACTTTCAAAATTCTCTGTATGGCTTTATAAGAAATTCTGGTTGTATCTTTGTCTACGGGCATCCCAAAAGGGCCTGGGTACTCTCCAGGCTGTGAGACAGTCTGCTTCCCAGACTTTTGGACTTAGGAACTGATTTTTTGTTTACCTGCTCGTCAGAATGGAATTGAATTCTGAGAAACATAGTTGGACAAGAATTTTTTGAGGAGAAAGAAACACTTGCTGTGTCCTTATCCTCACCAACTCTAGGGGGCACTGCTGTGATATGCAGAACCCTGGACATGTCCGATAGGCACTGGGATGGAAACACATCATTTTCAAAGTTTCTTAGGTGGCTGTGCCAACTCTGTATGTCATTAAGCAAACTTGGAAACTGCCCGAAGCTCTCTGGGAGTTCTGGGTAAAGAAAACCCGAACTTGCAAGGAGAATATTTATTAGGTCAGGAATCCTAAAGGTGGGGACCGATGGAAGGTATAGGTAGGCTTGTGACACCCGTGCAGAAGGTCATTGTCTATATGCCTTCTAGATCCCCTGTCCCTTTCGGATAGTTTGAGGTGAATTGTCAAGGGTGGCCAGACCTCACTTTCTCCAGGTAACACTTGTCCCAGCAGAACTTACGTGTAGCCTTGGTGATGGGGAAGGTTTCCACCTGTCATGCTCTGAGGTAGAATGTAAAGCTAAGGAGACAGAGACATGAATTTCACTGTGACAGCAGTGAGAGATCTGGGTGGAGGCAGGGTGCCTTCATCAGCTCTCCACAGTGACATAGCAGCTGCAGGCCCTCTGACTCTGGGAGCACAGCATGGCTGCTGGCTGCATGGGGATGTCTCTGGGTATAATGCAAAGACCTCTCTGCACCCACAGAGACTGTACAGGGAGCAAGGAGAGAACATGAAGCACCATTACACGCAGACTGCCGACTTGCCTGAAGTCCTGCTGGCCAAGCTGAATGCCATGAACATCAGCGAGGTAAAACTTCCCAAGGGGATCCAGGTTGAGGGGAGGGAGGGCAGGATGCCTGCCTTCATGGGTGTCATGGTGCCCTGTGCTTGTACTATGATGGGACAGTAGGCTCAGAGAAAGGAGGGGATGGAGTGCTTTCCTGGGCATCATGATATTGGGGTTTATGATTGCTGGGAACGGAGGGGGGGACCCACACTTGTGTTTGCACTAGACTCTGTAAGTGTTCTGTGCAAGATGTGAGCTCACTAGGGAGGATGCATGAGGAAAAATATCTCCCTTAGTATCAAGGCCTCCACGCAGAGGAGCTGAAATACAGACACACCTTAATAAAACTAGATGTAGCTGCTCGTTGTGCCAAGGACACATTTGGGGACCTCAGCTCTTCCCTCTGCAGTTTCTCTAAGAGCCCCTCTCCAGTCATGCCTAGTCATTGGTAGTGGCATTCGGCTAATCTCTATCTTGAATAAGGAGCTATCCAAGCACAGCCTTAGGCCTCAGGTCTCCTTCTTGACCTTGCTGTTCAGCAAGCTCTAGCTAGGTCTGTCAGATCTAAGCCCTTGTTTTGAACCCATTCCCTCTGTGGCTTCACCAGCCAAGGGTGGATGGGAGGCAGGAACTCACTCTAGGATACAATCCATTCTAAGGCTCAGTGATTTCTAACCCCAGATGGAGCTGTAGGTGGGACAGGGAGACCTACTGAACCAGATCCCTGTGGGGGGAAAGCAGAATGTGGGAGCCTATCAGACGTGTGCCTTTCTCCCTGCCAGACCCGCTACAAGGAGTCTTGGAGCCGGCTTCGAGATGGAGGTTACAAGCTACGGCTGGATGCCCTTCCGTTCCAGGCAGCAAAGGCGTCCAGTGAGGTTATAAGTGACGTGAGCATCCAGTTCTGTGGCAACGTTTAATCCAAACCTGTTCCAGTTCTTTTGCCTCTAACTCTTGCCTTCTTTTGCCTGCGGGTTTCACGTCCTCTCCCGTCCAAACCGACTGTGTTAGGGCAATCGGATAATGATCAGTGAGAAAGCGTGCATCTTACACAAAAAATTTCCTAGCCAGGGGCACAAAGCCAAATGCCGGACTGTAAACACGGAACCCGGGCAGATGAAATGCACCCTCCGCCAAGAGATTTCATAAAGCCAGCCTGTGAGGAGCCCACTAACGATGCCCGCACCGTCTCCCAGCCCGGGCTGCCCAAGCGCGCTAACGCTTACGCCATTTCAAATTGGAGCCCTTTAGTCATTGGGAGTCTTGCATATGAAAGAATAGACTTTTCGACAACTCCTGCGCGCTCCCTTTTAACTCACCCAGTTACTGTCAAAAGAACAAAACATTTTCGCCCAATACCCACCTCTTCCATTCTGTGTCCCTTGTCCCCGAGCTGTTACTCTCTCCCGCTCTCTTTCTCCCTTTAGTACAAATACAAAGAAGCATTTGAGAGAATGAAAGGCCAGATGCTCGGCTCCCGGAGCTTGGAAGATGACCTCAGCCTTGCACATTCAGTACATGCGACCTCGCTGCAGAGTGATGTAAGTAAGAGAAGAGGCAGGAGCTGAGGAGGGCCCACCTGACGATGCTCCTGGAATAGCCAGCCCAGGTCTCCCAGCCTCTGGGAAGTGGGTGATGCTGCTGCTCCTGACTTGCTGGGCAGAGTTATGAAATCTCCTTCAGGGTTTTTTAGCTTCTTCCTCCTTAACATGTGCTTGGATGTGTGGACCTCCTAGTTCCGTTCTGGACCGGGCATTCTTTGGTTTGGATCTAGGTGGTCTGTGAGATGTGTTTGGCCTGAAGAGAGACTTTATTTTTGTAGGCCACAGAGTGAATTACCACACATGTTCAGAAATGGGAAAAGATTTACATGAAAGTTCTAGAATGCTTGTTAGATGCTAGACTGGATTCCTGGAGGCTATAGCCAATTGAAGTTGCTCAGTAACAATCATATATAGATAGATGGGGTATGTGCTTACACATACACACACACGTGCGCGTGTGCACACACACACACACACACACACACTTTATTCTTATTTGTGCTTACATATGTATAGGCACCTGATTTGCTATCACCCTTGACAATTAATATGATCTTGTGGACTCTGGTACCGGGGTGTACAAACAACGTCCTTGCACATGTGTGAGGGGCTAATGTCAGGGGCAAAAGCTGTGCCCAACATGTTACAGGGGTCTAGCCTATGTATTATCTCGTTTAACTAGGATCTCCGATGGCTTACTGAGGTCGAGTGAATGGCTCAGTCCCTTGTCCAGAGTCAGCTGGAAAGAGGCAGTGCATACTCTCCCTCTCCCCCTTCCTTTCCCCTCCCCTCCCCCTACTCTTTTCCCCTTCCCCTCCCTCTCCCCCCTTCCTCTCCTTTTTCCTCCCTCTTCCCTTCCTCCTCCCCTCCCTCTCTCCCTCTCCCAGTCCCCTCCCCCTTTCTTCTCCCCTCCCCCTCCTTCCTTGCTTCCTCCCTCCCTCTCTCCCTCTCCCCCCTCTCCTGCCCCACACCTTCATCTGTTCTATGCCATTTTCTCTTCCTCACTCTTCCTGATTCCATCCTTGCTTCTTGTCTTGGGTGGCTGACCTCTGAACATGGGATTAGATGCCAGCTGGCCTTGTTGAGGGTGAGAGCCTGATTCATGAGGTGAGAGTGGGAGGTTTAGGCCACGTGCTTGGGTTGAGTGTCAGAGGGCAGTTGGCAAAAGGAAAAGGTAGTGAGCCTGCACCCTATTTCTGAGGAGGCTCCCGGTGAGAACCACCAGCTTTACACAGCTCCTCTCGGGGCTAGTGAGTCTGAAATGGGTTCCTCCCTCAGTTTTCAAGATATATGTTGGGCTTGGGAATGAGAATCTCTTCTCAGGACTCAATTTTCAGACAGCCCTCTCCTCCTGCTGGCTGTCAGATTGACTAGAAATCCATCTAATGTTGGACAACATTAGCTCTTTGCCATGACTCGAGAACCCCTGAACTTGAGTGGATATTGGGGGGATATATTGGATGTATCTCATGAGCCTTTTTGACAATGTGCAACGGGGTGACCTAGGAAATTGATCAAGGGGTTTCCTGGCATTGAATATGTCCCTTTATATTCCCCTTAGTCAGGGAGCCTTGGCCCCTGTACCCAGGCCAGTGACTTCCAGGGCCAAGAGTTGTGAAGTCATGAGCCAGACTCAAGCATGCTTGTTAGGTCTGTGTCTACAAGAGGGCACCATGGGCCTGCATCAGTGTCTCCGGCTGATGGGACGGTTGTGTTGTAGTTGCACTCCCTGATGACCCTGTGCAAACAGTAGCTTTGAAATGACGGCTGCCGATCTGCCTGCCCCTCTAGGTGAATTATAAGAAAGGCTTTGAACACTCAAAGGCTCGCTTCCATCTGCCGCTGGATATGGTAACCTTGGTGCACGCCAAGAAGGCTCAGACCCTGGCCAGCAACCAGGACTACAGACATCCGCTCCCCCAACACACATCCTTGGCAGAAGACCTGAGGCTGAGCTGTGCCAAGAAAGCTCACAAGTTACAGAGTGAGGTAAAGTGCCCGGACCTCTCCCTCAGGACCCTTCTCCTGGCAGCTCAGATCACAAGGCCACTGCCTCAAGTTCCTTGTGCCTCTTTGCATCTTCCTTAGTTCAGGCATCCTAAACTCTTCTCTATCTAGCCCAAGAGCTCCCACACTGCCCTACCACACAGTTACAGCACTCCAGTGAGAACAGCCACCGTTCCCTGAGAGTCCCTGTTGAATTCAAAGCATTGCATTTGGAAAATACCTCATCTAATCTCCTCCACCACCCAATATCCCTGCGTTAATAGTTCTCACTGTTCAGAGGAATTGTAGAAGACTCACAGAAGGGAACTCAGTAGTCTAAATCAGGTCAACTGTGTGTGCGGGATGGGGTGAGATGCCACATGGGTTTGTGGGTTTTCAGGATTTGTTCCTGGCCTCAGGTTGGGTGGAAAACCTTCTTAATGTTTTATGGGGGAAGCACGGATTGAGGCTAGACAGTCAGGCCCGGCGGTGCTGTCAGGAACCCGAGTGCCGCTGTAGGGATGAGGGAGCTGCCACGCTCATTGTAGGGCATTTGTCACTTACGCAGAGCCCTGAAACATGCCCTGTCTGGTACTGTGGTAACAGTCAGAGGACTGCACAACCGGGTGCTTTGCTGGCTGAGGGGAGCAAGCGTGGGGACTCTTTACTGTCATTCTGGATCACTCAGGGTTAGTGTTTGAAATACACTTGCCCACAGAGGTGCAGACCCGAACGGGTCTTTGCCAGCTTATTTTGGATTCATTCATTAGTTCTTCCTTTACCCATGATTAATTAATACCACCCACTGCTGCTGGCTTTTGTTTGAAAGCCTGGTTAAACCTTTCGCACGTTTGCCCCAAGACACCCGATTTCCTAGCCGTGGTCCTCTCCAGCTTTTAGGTTTTGATAGATCACATTAAAACAAAACTCCATTCGGCATCGCTGTCACAGCCACTCACAGAGAAGTGACAGCCGAGTGACTTCCTTCTGACTCACGTTTTTCCCCCATAAGCCTTTACCGAGAAACACGAGCAGCATTGTTGAGTGGTGCCACATCTGTACAGACAGACCCAGACTGCCTGGAGACCTAGCCGTGTGCTTCCATATGGTGTCCGGAGACCCTGGCTTCCCTTGCTTCTCTGTTCAGAGTTTGGCTCTTCTGACATTTATATATTCCCCATAGAATCTGTACCGCTCGGACTTGAACTTCATGCGTGGTATTCCCTGTGTCATTCCTGGAGCGCTGGAGATTGAAGGAAGGAAGAAAGCCTCTGAGCTCATCAGCGAGGTAACATGGGACTCCAGAGAGTGACAGTGCTACTGGGATGTCCACAGTAGATGCCCCAGTGGATGTGTGTCCCACTGATCAGGCAGCTGGAGTTAAGCTGTCACCTTTTGCCTTGAGTATTTGTTCTTACTGACGTTTTCGTTCAGACTGGACTCCACCTAAGAAAGCTCGGTGGGGACTGGGGAGATGGCTCAGGAGATGAGGTTAAATGAGTAAAGTGAGGGTCAAAGTTGAGCTCCCCAGCACCCACTTACACAGCCAGGCACCACTGTGTTCATCTGTAATCCCAGTTCTGGGCAAAGGGAGGCAGGAGGATTCCTGTAGCTTACTGGCCAATGAGTCAGTGAGTCCCAGGTTAAAAGAGACCCTTTCTTGAACAAAGTGAGTAGTGATAGAGGAAGATACCTAATGCTGATGTCTGGCATTCATAATAAACACACACACATACTACACACACATGAATGCATGCACATAACACACTGTACACATACATGTATGTAGATGCAAACATACAGTGCATATACACAGACACATACTATACACATACCGTACACACACATGCATTCACATGCATACATACATAATACTGCACACACATGGGTGCCGTGCACACACATTGTATACACTGTACACAAACATGCATGTGCATATACATACTGTGCATACACATGCATGAATATGCATATGTACACTTTATAGACACAGATACACATGCTACACACACTGTACACACACATGCATGCACATGCATACATACACACTGCACGCACACATGCATATACACACCAACACACATACAAGAATATCAAGTTGGCTGACTCATGAGCCCGTAAGTTGCACTTTTCCTAGGTCCTTTGAAGGGCAGCCCTGTGGTACAGTGGAAAGCAGGAAGGCTTTGAAAACCAACAAATGAGGCATTGAAATTCTCAGTCGGCTCTCATCTGCTTTGTGACCTCAGCCTAGTTACCTGCCCTTCCTGATCCCCAGCTTCTAAATTAGTCACATGGGGTTATACAGAGCACCTCGGTCTGGCTTTTATAAGGATTGGCACTGACTTAAGCCCAATGTTTCTCTGACAGCTGTGTTTGAGATGGCAGCTATGTGCTCTCTGATTAGTTGGTAAAAAAAAAAAAAAGTAAACAGACTCAGAACACTAAGCTCTCTAAATGCATGGGGAGCCTTACTCACCTCATGGCGCTTACGGTGGACTCAAGGACGGGGATGGTGGTGGGAATAGAGAAACGGATGTTTAGCGCCATCCTGCAAGCTAAGGCAGGTGGACAGTGTTCTGTGCGAGTTCAGGGGCCCTGGGCTCTGCATTCCAAGGACAGTCTCTGCATCAAAGCTCCTTTAGGGCCCCATGTGAATCTTCAAAGAACCCATAAAGCCAATGCCTTTCTGAGTCCTGGTGCAGGCAGATGTGGTGTGTGTGTGTTTGTGTGTGTGTGTTTGTGTGTACATTTGTGTGGGTATGTACATGGGACCTAGACTTTGTTCTTCAGGAACCATCCTTCTTGCTTTGTGAGACAGGGTCTTTCCATGACCCAAAACTCTATACATAGTCTAGACAGGCTGGCCCGAGAACCCCAGGGATCTGCCTGTCTGCCTCTCCAGTACTGGGATTGCAAACATGTCACCACACATGAGTGTGGTTTTGAAGGCGCACAGTGTGTCATGTGTCCTAGATGCTGTGGACATCCATATCCTCAGGTGCAGACTTCAAGTGTAGCTGGTCCAGCTCGCCTGCAGAGGGAGGTGGCCTACTGGATTCTAGAGGGATGGCCGGCAGCCTGGGCAGAAGGAGGCTCACTTGGGTGTGGTGGCACACTCTTCTGATTCCAATGTGGAGACATGCAGAGGCAGGAGGATTCCAGGGGTCTCTGGCCACCAGGCTGTCTAGTCAGCAAGTTCAAGGTCCTGTGAGGGACTTATCTCAAAAAGAAGATATTTATAGTGTTCCAGAGGGAACAATACCTCAAATCATCTTCTGGCATCTACATGCATGTACACATAGAGACACACACATGTGCATGCATTTGCACAGGCATGAATGTGTGCATGCGAGCTCATATACACACACAGACACACACACACAGACACAGATACACACACAGACACACACAGAGACACACACACACAGACACACACACAGACACAGACACAGACACACACAGACACACACACAGACACACACATAGACACAGACACATACACACACACACACACACACTAATTAGGATTTACAGCACCGTTTCCTCCCTTACCAAGCTATCTCTTTCCTTTCTCAGAGTAAATACCGTCAGCATCCTGGGTCGTTCAAGTACACGACTGTGACAGATACTCCCAACCTTCTGCATGCCAAGTTCAGCAACCAGATCACCAATGAGGTGAAATCTCCAATGCTATTCAAGGATGGCTAGATTGTAAAAGAAAAGACAAAAGATGTGTGGATTTTGGTGACCTGGGGAAGGGAAAGTCATTTGTATTTATGGGGGATTTGGAAAGAACAGAACATTTCGTCCAGAGCCTAAACATCTCTGAGGGGACAGGAGGGCCAGTTAGGTATCTGCTTTAGACTTTAGTCTGGTTCCTGTAGACCAGGGGCAGGTTGGAATCTCAGCTTCAGGCACACCCTACGGTGGCTGGACCTATAGAGTCGTGGACAAGGCTCTCAGCTGACTTGTTTGAACATAGCCAGCCTGTGACCAATGTAATGTTCATTTGTGGATGACATGTGGTTATCCAAAGGCAGGTCTTGCATGGCATCTGTCTAGAATTTTTCACCTTAACCTCAGTCACTACTATCTCCTAGATCTATACACCCCAACATTTGCTATTCCCAATAAGAAAGAAAAGGAGGGGAACGGGTCTCCTCTGCCAAAATTATTTCTCCTGCCCTCCTAGCTCTTCTCCTTGCTGGGACTCTCATGTCAGCCAGGCAGACACTTAATATCATCACATCATGTTTATTCTTAAGATTCTCCCGATGCTAGCTCTCAGAAGCTATGTGGGGAGCTGGCTATTTCCCTCATTCACCTCCACATCCAACCCAAGAAGTTGGAAGTGGCAGCTGAAGATAAGGACCCAAAAGAGACAGAGTTCAGCATTTTGCACAGAGATGCCATAGATTTAAAATTCTTCCTCGCCCCTCCCTGCCTTTCTAAACCATGTGCTGTGGAGGGGCTGTTTTAGGATAGCCTCTGACCCTACAGAAGCTGGCATACACTGACCCATTTCTGATCACAAGGACCAGCCCTCCAGGGTGGCTCTGTCTCAGCTTCCTCTCAGAAGGGATCCCAAGGCATCAAGAAAGGGTGCAGACCAGGGCTACCTCTTTCCACAAGCAGGGTTTCCATTAGGTGTCCCAGGTCACCTTCTGCTGTATCAGGGGAATGAATATCAGGACACTAGCCCCTTGTTTGTCTTCCTCCATGTTTAGGAAAGCAGCTCCTTACACAGGCCTTCCAGTTTAGTCAGACAGTCTGACTGTACTGAAAGAAATGTCCCTCAACCCAGGCTGAAGCTGTGTCCGGGGAAGCCTTCCCAGATACAAGCATGGGCCCACTGTCTTCTCACCATTTATTTATCTATGATTAATTAATTAGTTAATTAATTTTTAATTTGTGTGTAATGTCTCACTATTTGTTTGTTTGTTCATCTATTTATTATTAATTGGTCAGTTAATTAATTTTTAATTTGTGTGTATCGCCTCACTATTTATTCATTTGTTTGCTCGTCTGTTTGTTTACTCATTGTTAATTTGGGTTCAGCGTCTCTATAAAGCGGCTGGCGAGGATGTGCGACACCAATACACAGCAACCCTCGGTCTGCCTGAATTCACCCGAGCCAAAACCAACGCAGCCAACCTGAGCGAGGTAAGCCTTTCCCTGGCTGAAGTTCAACCATGCTCTGAAGCGACCCGTGTTGTGTGTCACAAATGATCTGACAGCCGCTTCCCCACTCTTTGCTGAAGTTTCTAAAAAGCACTCATTGTAGACGCCCATGTAAAATCCATACGAGTGTTATATATACATATATGCTCAGAACCTGCCACAGGGCATGCGCTAATGAGAGTTTGCTCTGTGAGACCGAAAGCATTTGCTACTCACAAATAGCTTCTAGGACACCGTGCCGCAATGAGAAGGCATGTCCCCTTTGCTAATCGATTCCGTGTTCCCACTTTAGGCAAAATACAAGGAGTCTTGGCATAATCTTCGTGCTCAAGGCTACAAGCTGACGATAGACGCTCTCCCCTTCCAGGCTGCGAGGGCCTCCGGAGACATAGCCAGTGACGTGAGTGGAATCCCCTGACCTCTGTCTCGCCTCATCTCTGTTAACTTCATGTAAAACAATGTGTGAGGCCGATTTTTCCTGAGTTAAAGGAAATCTATAACCACGTGAGACAAGGCATCACCTGCAGAATATATTAGCTCTGAATGAGGTCCTTCCACAAAAGGAGGTAGGGCCAATCACAGGCTAAGTGTGTGCAATGGTCTCTAGGAGAAGGAGCTGGCCACTCTGGTCTAACTGCAAATGGCGGGCAGCAGTCACCTGAGAGTTGCCTGTTCGCAGCAGCACCCAGAATAAGGGCAAGATAAGAGATGGTGAATGCCTCCCCTTGGCTCTCTGTCACCTCTCTTCAGAACCCACAGCTTTGGGACATGAAGGTGACTTTCTCTTTCCCCGCAAACAAATCACAGAAAACACGGATTTCAAGTGGGCAGATCCTGTTTTGGGGCATCTAAGGATTCTCCAGATATGAGTGGATGAAATACAAGATTCTTTCTTACCCTATTTGATAAAACTCCTGCTGGCCACAGGACACACAAGGGGAGCGGGGAGCTTCCCAAAATTATGAGAATCTGATTTTAATGAGATACGAAGGGAGGTATAATGCTTTCATCCTTCAGCCCTGGGGGGGGGAGGGGCATGCTTCAGGCAAACTGCCTGAGGTAGTTCTCGCTACTTAGAACAAGAAGACGTGATCCCCTTCCCTACAAGGCCGTGGTGACGTCACACACACGAGTGGGCACACATTGGGTCCATGCTGCTCTGAGGTGGGCATGCGTGCGCTGGCACCTGCTCAGCCAGCCGTCCCTTCCAGTTTCTCTATAGGCACGAGTTTGTGAAGGAACGAGGACAGCTCATTGGGGTTCAGAGTGTGAGTGACGACCCACGGCTACGGCACTGCCAGCGGATGGGCCAGCTGCAGAGTGAGAATCAGTACAGGAAGGAGGCGGCCAGCAGCCGAGCTCAGTACCGCCTGCCCATGGATATGGTGCACCTGGTCCATGCCAGGAAGGCCCAGGCCCTGGCCAGTGACCACGACTACCGGACACAGTGCCATGAGTTCACCGCACTGCCCGAGGATCTGAAGATGGCCTGGGCCAAAAAAGCACATGCCCTGCAGAGTGAGGTAGGCTCTACGGTGCTGACAGCCCCGCCTTCTTTCTGCCACACGTGAGGTTCTTCTTTGACCTTTGAACCCTCTCCATTGCAAACTTGGCCTGTGCCCTCCAGGTTGGGGTTATTTATTCAACTGATATTTATTGACCACCTATTGTATGGCCAGCACTCAGCTGGCTTTAACTTGTCTTCCATCTCTCTTTAGAAACTTCCTCACACCTGAACTCCTGATGTGAGTTTCCTACCTTCCTCCCCTCTGACCACCCCTCTTCTCTCCTCTTCTCTCTTTCCCTTCCATCCCTTCAGTTCCTCTCTCCCTTTGGGAGAATGTAGTCAGTCATCAGCAAAAGTAAAACACATCTCCCAGGCTTGTGGAACCCCTGTGAAGGGGAGATTGATCATGATCGATATGGTGAACGTCTTATCTCTCAGATGGAGATACATGCTAGGGAGATGTGTTGGTGTGTGTATGTGTGTGCACAGGTTCGTGTGTTCGTGCATATATGCAAATTTTAGAGGCAGGGCCTCTCTGTGTAGCCCAGGATGGCTTCAAATATGAGGCATTTGCCTCAGCTTCTGAAGTGCTGTGATTACAAGTGGTGCCAGCATGTACCACTACCTAGTTTATGTGCCACTTACAACGGGGCATCCGGATAGTTCTCCTGAAATGTCCCAACATCTGAAGAAAAAGGCCTAAAGGAGATGAGGGAAGGGGATAGAGGAATCTATTCAGATAGAGCAGTAAATTTCAAGGCTAAACCATGAGCAGGACCAGTTGTAATATGTTTGATGTCAAACAGAAACCATCGGGGGGATAGCTCAGTGGACAGCACACTACAAGCAAGTATGGGGGTCAGAGGTTGGGTCCCCAGAACCCACATAAAACCCAGATGAGAATGGCAGCCACCTGTCATTCCAGCACTCGGAAAGCAGAGACGGGGGTCTCCAGGACAAGCTGGAGAGCTTGGCTCATCAGAAATCAGCAAACTTGAGGTTCAGTGAGAGACCCCGCTTCAACAAAGAAAGCAGAGAATGTTTGCAGAATGTGACTGATGACAGCTCCAGGCTTGAACATACACAGTGTACATCTCCCATGAACACACTCATGACCACATACATGTGAACACGCACATACACAGTGTGCACCTCCATGAACACACTCATAACCACACACATGTGAACGTGCACATACACAGTGTACATCTCCCACGAACATGCTCATGATCACACACATGTGAACAAGCACATACACAGTGTGCACCCCCATGAACACACATGTGAACCACACACATGTGAACACACACATACATAGTGTACATCTCCCATGAAAACACTCATGCCCACACACATGTGAACATGCATATACACAGTATGCACCCCCATGAACACACTCATGACCACACCACACATGGGAACCACACACATGTGAACATGCATATACACAGTGTGCACCCTCTATGAACACACTAATGACCAAACACATGTGAGTATGCATATACATAGTGTACATCTTTCACACACTCATGCCCACACACATGTGAACCACACAGATGTGAACATGCACATACATAGTGTGTACCCCCAATGAACACACACATGTGAACCACACACATGTGAACATGCACATACACAGTGTGTACTCTCCATGAACACACTCATGACCACACACATGTGAGTATGCACATACACAGTGTACATCTCCCACAAACACACTCATGCCCACACACATGTGAACACGCACATATACTCTGTGCACCCCACATAAACATGCTTGTGCCCACACACATACACTGTGTACATCCCCCATGAACGTGCTCATGTCCACATACATGTGAACACACATATACACAGTGTGCACCCCATGAACACACTTATGCCAGTATACATGTGAACATGTACATATACAATGTGCATCCCAGATGAATACCCTCATGTCCACATACATGTGAACACATGTGTACACAGTGTGTACCCCCCATGAACTTGCTCATGCCCACACACATGTGAACCACACACATGTGAACATACACATACACAGTATACATACCCCATGAACACACTCATGCCCACACACGTGTGAACATGCACATACACACCATGGACACTACATACACATGAAAGTGGGTGAACGAAGTGAAGTTTTGTGGATTGGCAGAGAGCACAGGGTGGAGCTCCGGATCTAAAGATAATTCGACCGTGGCTCACACTGACTGCTATACTGAGCTTACCACACTGACTGCTATACTGAG